GAAAGTCAAAGACAGGACAGGTTGTCCAAAGAAGATGGATTTTTCTTGCTTTTATCATATTTTCTCTAATTTGTGGAGATACTTCAAGAATCCAGGAAATATCATTTTCATTTTTTTTTGGTTAAGTGGAAACCTTATGTTAATGTTTTCAACAAAAGTGCATTCAGTATAGGTGAGAAAAATGTACAGGTTTTGCTCAAAAATGTCTAAAGCAAGATCCTCTTTATTAAAGGTTTTCAGAACGGAAGCAATTTTGACTAATGGTGGTCTCTTTTTTGGCAAATGTTATATTAAACCTGGAATTTGTTCAACGTTCTCTTTAAAGTAGTTTAACTCATTCTTATGGTGATAAGACAACTTGAATGCAAGATCCTCCCTCGCCACCTCCCCAACATCATTTTATATAGGATATACTGTACAGTACATAGATGACATAATCATTCTATGCAGGACAACTCCAGACATCTCAGCCTTTGTTGACTCCATTAACGACAAACCGTATGGCTTGACTGTGGAAATCGATCAAGTGCACTCTACGGAGGTCCAGTTCCTTGACATCAACATTAAAATTGAAGGGTCGGCAATCCATACCAAGATGTACCGTAAACCAGGATCGGGTCTTGTGACCCAAATCAGTATAAAATTGCAGCCTATAATACCTTAATTAGGAAAGCGCACACTCACTCATCCATTCAACAAGCTCTCCATGCAAACTGAGATGTACTCATTGTATAGCCAGTGACCATGGGTACCCCAAGCTTGCCCTTAAATTAATCTACAGATTTCACCGCTCCCAAGATGCACTGCAAGTCCACTCCCATGATGAAGAAAGGATCCCAATCACTTACAACCCACATCTCAAATCACTATATATCAAGATATCTAAGAAGTGCCACATTCGCATTTCATACAGAAGATGTCCAACTGTATTTGACATTCTTTGTAACGTTTGTTTAAGTTTTGAAAGGACGTTTGTTTAAGTTATGGCAATGCAACAGTTGAACAATCTGCCTAGGGGGATGCTTTTCCAGGAGGTCTTTCTAAGGGAAACTGGCCCCTATTTAGGTATTACAGACGTGGAGAAAACCCGGAAAACTCCACATGGCCAGCCCGTCTGAGCAAGACGTGAACCTATGACTGAACTTTCAGTGTTCAGGGAACGAAGACTGCTTGGCCACTGGTGGGCCACAGAAAGGACATTACTAACCAGGACAGACTCCCCAGAGTTTACAGTATCCCAATTAAGGATCACAGATGCAATAAGAGAACTCATTTACATAGGCTCTACGAAGTGCTCCTTGGGGGGTTAGAATGAAAGAGTACATCGCTGACATACAGCACGAGAGGACCACCACTGCTCTTGCCGTTTACGTCAGTGATCCAGACATAGAACCAGATTTTAACCAGGCAAAAGTCATCCTCACCTCACCATACACAGAACATCTAAGATGGTTGGAGGCCATTTATATCTACAGATCTAGCCTCAACAACACTTGTATTAACCACAAAGACCTATAAATCTCATCAATTGCTACCAGCTAGAGTGCGCGTGCTCAGTGGAACATCATCAAGAAACACATATTCAAATTTCAAATCATGTTCTTATTTAATTGCATTCCAACGGAAATTCACTTTCACCTGAAGAACTGTTTATGGTTCAAAAATGTTTGTGGAAAACTGGTTTTTTTTTCTTTGTTGTTTGAGTTTCACACTGGTAACAGGCTTTGAGGTATGTAAATAACTTCACTCTAGTGTTGGTTAGTGTTGATTTATTCTATTTATTTATCTTTCAATAATGCAGTTTTGTGTGTGTGCATAAATTCATTATTTTTCATACTTGGTATCCAAGGAATGTTTAGTAACAAAAATAACCTGTCTGGATTAATGAATACTGATTTTATACATTGAAATTAGGAAATTCTTAATTAACTTAACATTGGTATCTCATGATGATAGTCAAATACATGGTGAATCAAACAGTAAAGACAATTTTGAAATTAACATGTAACTGCAAGGCAAAACAGCTGATGCAATTCAAACATTCATATTAGACGATGATTGGGTTAGTCACATGGTACCAGAAGGACAAAAACATGACTCTCCACTGCACAATTACACCATTGACAAACAACATGCCATAGTTTATTTTTTTTGGACAGAGGTAGGTAGTGAAACCTGTTAAAGTTTACTGTTAGATGGTAATTCAGATGGGGAGTGCAAGCACTGTGAATCAACAAAAAATTTACAAGCAGGTAGACTTATTCAAAGTCAGAAGAACAAGCCCATGAACATCACACATACCATCTTGCATCAAGAGGGCAAATGTCTTGATCAAAGAAGACTGATGAGTAACATTGACATGTATTGCTGCACGCTTGGGTGTCAGTTATGGATCTATACAAGCCATAGTGTATGATGGCTTGGGGTTCTGTAATATTTGCACAAGGTTGAGTTCACAAACAGCATTCTGATGAACACAAGCAACAATGTGTCAAGGTTGCAACCCAGTTCCTGAAATGCTACATAGAAGATGCAAGTATCTTGGAAAGAACTGTTATGGATAATGAGACATGGGTTCATCATTAAGAACTAAAGAACGAGAGAAAAGATTGGAGTGTAAACATCACTCTTTGCTAGCAAAGAGATGATATTCTGGTGTATTTTAAGGAACCTGGGCAAACAGTCAACAATGGAAATTATTGTGATTTGCTATATAACAGACTGAAATCCACAAGTTGTAGCAAATGAAGAGGACTGCTGTCCAAAATTTGCACCAAGACAGTGCATGTCCCATGCAGCAGCAGCAGCAGCATAGCAATGGTAGAGACAGTACACCAGCTTGAGTTTGAACTGCTTCCACACTCTTATTATAGCTCATTTGAGGGAGTGTGCTGTGATTTCAGGTTTACCTCTGACAACAATATAAGATGCTGTGCAGATGTGGCTTCAGGGGCAGCCAAAAATCTTTTTGAGAGGAATTCAAAAGTTAGTTCAGCAATACAGGTGCATTGCCCTGCAAGGGGAGTATGTAGAAAAAGATGATGTAATTTGTACACAATTATTGGTATTAAATGTGTTAAAAGGTTTTTGTCTTTACTTTTTGATTCACCATCATAATTTACTTCTCTAGTCCCAGATTTGTTTGTAATTAATTTGCAAATACCCCTAATTAATTAATTACAATCAGAGGTATTCACAATCCACTGCTTTTAAGAAAGCAAGTATTGGCAAGAAATGTCATGAAAGCATCATTTCTCTTGATCACAACTTCGTTAGTATGGGTTCTATGGCAAAAGTCATCAGCTTAAAGAAAACCTGCCTTGAAGGATGTTCACCAATTATAGAAATCCATCAGCAGAGGAATAAGTCTTATTTTTAAACTCAGAAATGGCACAAAATAATTCTCATAAAAGACAGTAATGTTGATCAATAAAATGTCCAATAAAGATGAAGCAAAAATCGCAACATTCATAGATGACAGTGTCAAAAACTTTTTAGGTTTGTTACTTCCCCAAATTGTCCAGCCTACATGCATGCTCAAATTCATCACTTTGGATAATTTGGCTTTTCTAAAAGCAAACAGTTTCCATTGTGAATATCTCTATTGACTTGGCCAAATTTTATTATCCATTTTAATTTTGACATTTTTTTTGCTTTTAAAATATTCTTATGTTTGTATTCATAATCAAGAATCGAGAGATAGAGTTAGGAATGCCTATTGTTTAAGTTCTAACAAAAGTAATTGGCTAACTTCTCATTCTTGATCCTTTGTTGCAAATACATCTTTTAATAAATAACGTAACCAACACCTTATTGCTTGCTGAGGGAGTTTTATTAAAAACGAACGTTTTCGATCCACTTAACGGATCATCATCAGGTTCGAATATATGAAAATGGAATACATCATAAATGGAACAATAAGTTCAAAAATTCAAAAATATCAATAAACTGATAACATATTAATTAATATGAATAAAAATAAATTGTAAACGATACCAAATAATAAATAATATACTACAACGACTAAACATTAATACTAAGTTTCCTTTAAATCAAATAAATATCATATTTCAGTTGATGCGCTACTTGTAAGCTTTTTAACGGCAAATTTCCAAGCCGAGGGAAGACCTTCCGCATCCCTAGCATTAATGCATCCTTCTTTAAGTTTGCTCCTGTATATCTCCATTTTTTCGGCCGTCCTCGCCAAAGTTGGTGAGTGTACTTGTCTCACGACTTCCGCTTCCTCCCATCCAACCAGGGATCCTTGGGCCTGCGCCATCTGGGCCAATATTGTTGTATTAGACCCTTTTCTAGCATCATATTTGTGTTCTCTAATCCTTACCCCGAGGTTTCTGGTAGTAACTCCTACGTAATCTTTTTTTATTCCTAATAGCTGGTTCTCGTAGGGAATCTTGTAAACACCTGCCTTATCTTCTTTTTTAATAACCCCTTTATCGTTTCTAAGAATTTTATATAAATTGGGAGCTCTTTTCAAAATCACCGTTGAATCTTTAACGCTTGCAATTTCCTTCATAATTCCTCCTAAATATTTGTTGAATGTAAATTTTGTGTACTTAGATGGACCTTGTCTGGAGCCTTTATCATTATTCTTCTCAAATTTTTTAACAATACCCGTTATAATATTTCTCTTATATCCTAAGGCTTCTGCTAACTGTGTGATCCTTTCGTTGTCGCAGTATAGAAATGATCCGTTGTCGCAGTATAGATGATGATCCGTTAAGTGGATCGAAAACGTTCGTTTTTAATAAAACTCCCTCAGCAAGCAATAAGGTGTTGGTTACGTTATTTGTTTATTTTTGCTGGGTATGATTGTATTCAACATCTTTTAATGTTTTTTATACTACTACAGATTTTTAAAGATTTAAATTTAGAATATATTATTAACTATTACATAATTTTAAAATACAGTATATTTAATTTTTGTGTTATTATTTAATATAATCTCTTATATTATATTATTATTATTTTTTTTTTTATAGCTTTGGACTGAGTAACAGATTCGATACGGAATTCCCCGCGGCTCTTTCGGCCAAGGTAATGTAACTCTTAAAATTTTAATGGATTTTAAATACTGCCTCTCACTTCTTACAATCTTGCCAGGTGGCCCCCGAAGAATACAAAGCAACCATCACCAGAATCAACAGCGTCCTGAGGAAGACGCTACCCGTCAACGTCAAATGGTTGTTCTGTGGATGCCTGTGTTGTTGCTGCACTCTGGGATGCTCTCTTTGGCCGGTCATCTGCCTGAGCAAACGGGTAAGTTAATTTAGCAGTGTAGTCAATGCAACTTTGCCCATTCATTTAGGGATGTTTTGGGAGAATTTCAGACTCCAATGAGTTTAATCATTTTCTATATACAGTAAGAACCCACTTAATGCAGGGGATGCGTTCCTAGACGACATAACACTAAGCGAAACAGCATTAAATGAGACCATTTTAACATAGAGTAAATAGGGAAAGGGGAACATGTGACCAAAAATTAACAAATTTTACTGTATTTTAAGTTCTATTATTATGCAAATTAATATAAAAATATGTTAAATAACACGTAAACATATGCACACAGAAATGTAAAGTTCATTTTTTGTGACAAAGGTCCTGGCTTTTCTGAAATTCTTATTTTTTGCAATAAAGTCGTGTAGTTTCATTTGTTGACTTTTTTTTTCTTTCCATAAGCAAATGTCAACAGTGGAAGATTGCATCCAAAACACCTCGTTTTTCTTTTGCACCCCTTTCAAAATCTGGATCATTCGCTACAATTTGATCAACAGTTTCATTTATCATTACCAAACTTTTACTAAAGAAATCTGTAGCAAGTTATTTGGGTTCTTTGTTTTCAGAATCTATTTTCCAGTTCTACATGAATTCCTTGTTCTGCCAGTTCTTGAAGTCATCATTGGTAAGGCTCTTACCAGAAACCTGCAGTAACTCCCCGACATCCTGCTCGTCTACATCTCTTGTATTGATTAAGTTGGCAATTTTGTCAACCTAACGATACAGTGATAGGCTCTTCTCGATGAGAATCTTTGGATACCTTCCATAACTTCTTCCACATTCCATTCATTCATGCATTTATCAGTTAATTCTTGCCAAGCCAAGCCAATATTTCCTATGGCATCCATAATGTTATATTTTTTCCAAAATTGCACAAAACAATCATAGATTTAAGGGAAGTACAGCACTACAAAGAATTGCCACCTTTTGCTGATTGGTTCGTGTTTGGGAATAATCGTATTATATACGAATCAATGAAATACTGCGTTAATTTGAATCAGTGTAAATTTTGAGCATTTTTTAGGTGTCAAGCAGACCGCATTATATTGAATCAGTGTTAAGCAGTGTCTTACTGTACATACATAATCCAAACAAAGTGAGCAGCATACAAAAGGAGACTACAATCCTACAAATCATCAAAGTTGCCAAATGGATATTTGGCAACTTTGTCCAGACACACTCATGCCTATTCTAGCATACTACTTCACATTTTCTCTTTCTGACTTGACACTTTGTTCTTTCAGATACTCATTTACTTGTTCCAACCAAGACTTTCTTGGTCTTCCTCTATCATGTTTCCCATCCATCTTTCCCATGTACACTCTCTTCAACAATTGTTCTCCTTTCATTTTCTCAATGTGGCCAAACCATTGTAGACTTATTTACTCACCTTTTTGAACCATTCTCCCTTTAATCCCACATTCCTCCAGCACATATTTCTCTCCTCATTGTGCCACACATTCCACTCAAATACCTCATTTCATGTGCAGTAATGGAACCCCTGTGACTCTTCTGCCATACCAAAATTTGGTTACCATACTTGAGCATGAGCACCCCAACACTCCCATACACATGCTTCTTTGGATGTCCTTTTATCCCTTGCAAATTTACTTATTGCACCCATCACCTGTGCTCCCACAGATAGATGGTAAAATCACCAGAGTTTACCGTTATTCCATTCGTATTTATCATGCTTTCCAAATAAACACATTCACTTGTTTCAGTTGTTCACTATCCGGCTCAATCATGCAGTCCGTTTCTGTTTGAACACAAAGGTGAACAATCACTTTATACTATGCTGCAAATGAATGTGAGTAAAACTATTCCTTGCATGCCTCTTCAAGATTAGACACAAGTGTCCAAAGCTCTTCCTGTCATTTGCATACAGCAGACAAGACATGTTCATTTCCAATTCTCATTCCAAACTTTGGCATTCTGGATCTCCTTATGCACATATCCACAAAAACATCAAACCACCACAGGGACGTAACACACCCTCCTCAATCGCGAATCACTCAGACACTTTGCCATCTACACATACATACTTGACATGAGAGAGCAGCAATGTACAAAAACAGCAAACTAGTTTACCTCTCACTCCATAATTACGTAATACTTGCCCTATTCATTTGCTCTATCATATGCTTTTTCTAGATCTGCAAACACTTTTTTACCCACATTCAAACATTTCTCCGCAATGCAAAGATCTAAATCTAATCTAAGCACCCCTTCCCTTTCGTAAATCCACATCAGATTTGCAGTCTGCTTTTCGGCTCCATTCTACGGAAGTGCAAATTTAGAAATCCAAGCCTGTTCCCGTAACGTTTGAAACATCAAATTAATATTTCCCGAAAATATCATGCATTCAGAAGTTCAGAATTATTTAATCACTAAATATAAAATTCAAATTACAAAATTAGAGGACAAACCAGTTTTATATAAGCTTTCACTTCTAACATTTGAAGGAAACTGTCAACGTGGATATCTTTACCACTTGTGCAACTGTAATAAGTTGTATCACATATTGAAACATACAGTGAGCTATCTAATCTGGCTGTTTATCTAATTAATTAATTAATAATGTACAAAAGTAAACTTAAGTCAAAATTCCTAAATAGTAAGTTATTGCTTACCATCCTTTTTGAGAATTGAATGATGCCAGATGGGATAACTAGAAATGGATTAGAAACCATGCGTCATGAAGCATTATGTTTCTAAATACCTCACATTAAATTAGATACCATATATTAAGGTCAAGTAAAGCTTTCTGTGAAGATAAATTTTTACAGGACAGTTTTGTTTGTATCTTTAGAAACAAATTTAGGTGTACCACAAACAGTCCATTGCATTTGTAATTTGAATTTTTGCATAATACCGCCTACCTTCGACGTAACGGAAAAAGCGAGGTTTCAATAATCCTGTTTGGCTCTCTGTAAACTCTGACCCACACCACTTTGAATAAATGGCAGTAACACATTTATGAGAAGAAAAGCCATAGGCAGAAACTTCTGTAAATATATTATAGCTAAAATATTTAAGGGTTAATTTCTTCCGTTACCTTTTCTCCATATTTAAGGGTTATTTCCCAAAATTGTGGTAAAAATTTCCTTTAATTCTCAGGTATCTTTCTTTTATTTGTAGACTAAACACTCGATTGAGAAAGTATTAGATTGGGAGAATAGTCATCTTTATCATAAGGTAAATACTAATTACAAATATAAAAGAAATCAACAATTTTTTAAAAAATATAGAAATTGTTTCTTTTGCAGTTGGGATTACACTGGAGGCTCGGCAAACAGCGTTGCGACACAAACAGCATGATGGAATACGTAAGTATCTGTTTGGGATACCTTTTTTGTGATGGGACCGGAGGATGTCTGTAGCTTCTGATGCAATGATCTAATCCGTAGGTCTTGTACGTGGAATTTCTTCCGAAAATGCCCATCCACCATCCAGACTAGATGGCGGGAGGATCGGATGTCGCTCATCTTCCAGGACCGCGCCGTGGCCTCGGACGTCGGGCCCGCGGCGCGGCCACACCCGGTGATATGTACATAGCTATTTTGCAGCGTCGCCGCACTCGTCTAAACCGCAGCGGGAGGTTCGTTCCGTCCCTCCGTCGAAAGGGCGGCGCCTTCCCGATTGTTCACTTTAGCCAAAGACAATCTCTGTAAGATAGATAGCATTTTTGTCTCTTCACCTCGTCCCCAGTGTTTTAACGTTCTTGTCACCTTACGTCCCAATATTAGCAACTTTTAAACTTTCCACGTTTAGAATTTATAGTTTTATTAAGCCCATGTGCATAACCACACGTTAAAGAAAACAAACAAACAAAAAATTATTTTGCTAATTCGATGCTAGTTGCTATATATCGAGTCTCCATTTTTCCTCATCACATATTATTCTTCTAACTGCTACTCTCGTAAGTCTATTCTCTCGACACGTGTCTTTCATCGCATATCCGAAAGTGTAAAATAGGTACGGTGTTCGTAATTAGAATAGTTATTTTGTGTAAAGAAGCAACGGCACGCGGACGGTTCTGTATAGTACGACACTATTTTAAATTTGGCCAACCGTGCGTACCGCTCGGCATCATCATTGTCGTGCCCGACGAGATCTAAATAAGTGCAAAACAAGATTCCTAAAAAGCTAAGACAATTAATGCACAAGAGTTATTTTTGTTTTGTCTCGTTTGAGAATTGCACGTCTTAGTCGTTCGCCGGGAACGAGACATTTGAAGTTTTTCTTTATCGCAGTCAATTCAGTTTTCGAATGACTTCCTCTCATTTGGCGCAAATTTATTTTTTGTGTTGCACATTAATCAAAGTGCCTTCAATCTCACTACTTTGATTTACAACCGAAAGCCGAAGCGGAAAATCATCGAACATTTTGTCGAATCTGTTATACCACTTTTATTTTGCAAGATTATATATAAAGTTACATTTATATGTTTCATCTCAGGTTATTAAATTATTTCATTCTCTTGAAATTTGTGCATTTATTTAATTTCAAAAAATATTACATATTCTCGTATAAAATGTCATTACAAAAATTACTCCTAAATTACTTTGGTCCCCAGAAATCCATGTTTTGCAATGGAATGCAGTTCAATTTTCTTACTTTTGCCCCATCTTCATCTTCTGATCTGCCTGTTTCAATCCGATCCAGGTGTTCAACTTCTGGGCTCTCAGTCTTGACCAGATCACATGATCTCTGAGCCCGAGTATCTGGGCTGCACAGAGGGCTGCACCGTCAGGATTCAGGATGGTTGGACAACCCAGACCTCGAGAATAGGAGGAAAATCATAAAGGTGCTCTTAATACTAACTATATTTTATTATTATTATTATACCTACCTGAAGGCAAACGGAGGGAAGACCAGACATCCTCTCTTCCCCAGTCGGCGGTGAGGGGCGGACAGTTAATGACTGGAAAAGTCGCATTTCCCGAAGTCACTGGTCCCAACCCATTACTCCTGCCGGCAACTGCTACAAACACTGTGGGAATCCCTTCTCCTGGAACAAAATTCCTGTCAATACTATTCTTTTTTTTTATAAACCAAAAGAATCAAACCTACCTTCGTACTGAGAAAGTATATTCAGTGTCTCGTCAGTTCCCTTGTGAGCAGAGGTAACTCTCAGTTCGTACGGAATGCCTAGTTTTTGGCAGTGCTTGCCAATTTTCTCGCAATGTTCTGCGTCCGAGGGTGATCCCATTAAAATGACCACTTGTGATGTTGGTTTAGGTGTTAATTTCTTTAATTTTAAATTTAAATTAGTTTAAAGAGTAAGATAAACTTTGTGTAAAAGTTTGGGTTTTTTTTAACCTACATCTAATTGTTCGGCCACCCATGTAAAATTCTTTTTCACTTGATCTAAATCTTTGGGCGTCACTTCTTGGAGATTTCTATATACCTGTTTGTCGACCATCAACCTTTTGTCGCCAGATGGCCAGAGACGCCAAGAATCACTGTCGATGACATCCGCGAGAACAATTTCGCCTGAAAAAATAAATCAAGTGGCAAAACAAAAATGCTTTAACACTCTATCATCAATTCTGCAAAGCAGTCTTACCAGTCGAGGGAATCACTCCGTATTCGACCTTCATGTCGACGAGACTACAATTCAGACTGGACCAGGCCTTTTCCAGCACCTCAAAGACCGTGGCCGTGGTCTTCAGCATGATATCCACCTCGTCTGGACCCAAGACCACGCCACCTACCCGGAGTCCGGCCGAAATCAGCTGTTCTGTGGACCACTGTGGATCATGGTTTGCGTCATCCTGGGAGACCGAAGAGAGATTAGCTTCGGGCTCTTACAAAACTTATAACACGAGTTAGCTTACCTTAAAAAACGTTTCCAATTTTGGCGGACAAAAGCGATAACCTTCCGGCACCCCAACATTTCTTTTCAGGAAAGAGCCAGTTGCTATTCTCCTGGTAACCCATTCTATGGGTACCATCTCACAGTACCGGGCAACAAAAGAAGTATCATTTAATCTTCTGACAAAATGTGTTTTCACACCTGTTTAAAAATAAAAGAAACATTTCAATGGCAGGAATCTGAAGTAAGGCTGCATTTATGCAGACACAAGAAATGACAGAGCACCAAGCAAACCAAACTCTCTTTACTTGCATTCGTTTAAAACTAGACTAGAAGGTCCTATGAATTTTACAGTGGAGTAGTTTTTGCTTATTTCTTTCTTTTTTTATTATTATTGATGGCCTCCACAGTTTTTCCAGTTTCTTGGACTATTTTTTTTTATTATTTGACAGATTGTAGACCTGTTCTGTTGTCATTATTGCATGGAAATGAGGCCACCAAACTACAGTACCAATCCAGAGAGGAGATAAAATTACAGAGAAAGTTCAACAGTTTGGACGGTTATCAAGAACAAGGGAAACCAATGCATTTCTTGTGTGTTACAGGCAAGAACTCCATTTTCCTCTTCTGCATAAACTACATTGCTGGTGCGATATTCCGATAACAACAGTTCAGATTTTGTTTTTCCCTTTTCTCGTGCATGCATAAATGCAGCCAAAGAAATTTGGAACGCACTGTACACCGACAACACTAGACTAATTATGAATACACTTTGGACTCGTCGAAACAAAACTATTTCTCCAAAAATTAGTTACATACCACATTCTCAGAATTATGAAAGATATAATGACCTAAAATATTTTGAACCATACAAAAAAATTAACTGTAATTTTTGTAAATAAATTTAATAAAGGAGTAGCATAGAACCATTGCCTCAAACTGCCTAACCAGTAATTTTATTTGGTTGCATTATCATACAGTGGACATATAAAGTAGGCTGTTAATGTATCAATGTAGACTTATGCCAAATTGCATGTCAATCCTAGGGTCCCTCTACAGGATATAAGTAAGTATATATACTTTACATACTTACATATGTCAAGTACATATTTAGCCCGTGCTGTATTATTTCATATATTAACAGATACAAATCAAATGGGTCTTGCTTTAGAAGCATATTAATCATTACTAATCTTCAAAATATAAAATACCACACATGGCACAATATTTGGGATGAAAATTAAATAAAATAAAGAATGTAATGCAATACGTACACCACGGGAAACCAAAGCCAGATAAAACTGTAACGTGGTAACAGACCAACAAAAACTCTGCTTACAATAAAATATAAAAATTTATTTAAGGGACACAACTCTACTTTCCAAAAAATAATGTAAAATCTACGACGACAAAGGTACGAGTGCCAAATCTCGTTAATAATAGTTTTAAGTGTTTAATAAATAGAATGGTCTTTCTACGCAGTATTATACAGTCGGCATCAAAATTATACACACACCCAACTTTTTTCAATAACAAAACATACTAATATTAACAATTGTTGTAATGTACAGTAGAGTGTCGTTTATCCGAATCAATTGGGGACTGGGGTTGTTCGGATAACCGATTATGTACAAAAAAATGTATTAACCCATCCCATTCTGAAATTTTTCTCCATTGAATTTTCGTTGATGTTAAGCCTAACATAAACTTTTTAAAATAATAATTGTGGCTATTGTATTGTTAAAAATTATTTCTTTATTTTGTACAAACGAAATAAATGTTAGAAAGTTGTGTATGTGAACTTTGTCTTTGTGATCGTCGCACCCTCCCCTCTGCTATGTGTGGGGTCTGTTGAGTTATGTTCATCAAGGGAGTTGTACTCTGGTCCAGTATAGTTTAGTTTGGAATGTGTGCTGTGGTCTAACGGACATCGCTTTCTAGTTCTCTCCATTTTTTTTGTGTTACCTTCGCCATTACCCTTCATTATATCCAAACCCTGTCATGGTAGCAGAGCGTGGTTGGTTTAAGGGTTTAATGATCGAGGTTTACCATACGAAAAACATCTAATTGGAGATTCAAGTAAGTGATATATACTTGTTTGCTTACGAAAGGCATAACCCGTCTGAACAAAGAGCAACGCCATGAATAGTGTGGGGACACAGCATGTAGATAAACTCGATGATGGCAACTACGAATCGTGGAAGCTACAAATGCGTAGCATACTTGTTTGCAATGAACTTTGGTCGTACGTAAATGGATCCATAGAAAAACNTGCTCCCAAAAAAAAAAAAATTATCAAATGATAAGTTTCAGTGTATACGCAGACTCCGGGCACACCGATAGAGAGGGTGTTAGAAAGTTGTGTATGTGAACTTTGTCTTTGTGATCGTCGCACCCTCCCCTCTGCTATGTGTGGGGTCTGTTGAGTTATGTTCGTCAAGGGAGTTGTACTCTGGTCCAGTATAGTTTAGTTTGGAATGTGTGCTGTGGTCTAACGGACATCGCTTTCTCCATTTTTTTTTTCTCTCCATTTTTTTGTGTTACCTTCGACATTACCCTTCATTATATCCAAACCCTAATTACATTGAAAAATATAAAAACAATAAAAAATTATACTTCAAAAGTTAATTTAGTATCAAAAATGTAAAATATTTGAGTAGCCCAAAACATAGGCAAAGATTGTAGCACCACAGCACTAGCAAAAATTTAAATTTGCCAACTGGAATTCTTTTTCGGATAAACGACGATCTACTGTATTTATTATGTTGTTTACATCATCAATTTAAACATTTTCTGAAATTTTTAGGGCTATCTGACAATTACAAAAAAAAATTATCACAGATTTTCAATTTTTCATTGTTTCAAAAGTATAAACACATGAACACTAAAAAACGATTTGTCTCAATACTTTGTAGTCCATCATTTGGTTTATAATTCATTCAAATATTCTATCAGGCACACGTTTTACTAGTTTTTGAAGTTGTTCTTGTTTAATATTTTCCCAACAATCCACGATAGCTAATTTCAGTTCATTTACAGTGCCGTATTGTTTGTTTTGGCCCTAAACGAGACAATTTGTAATGCCCCAAACATTCTTTATCGGGTTCGTATTGGGGCTCCACGACGGGCAATCGACTATATTAATTTTTTTCCAACAAACCAACTTTTAGCCGACTTTGAAGCACGAACGGTAGCATTATCCTGTCGGAATTGCCAGTTTCTCACCCAATAAGCGATCCGAGTTATTAAATTTGGATACAACAGTTCTCAATACTTTACCAAATTCATTCCACCTTCTATAAATATAATGTCAGTTTTACCCCCATCCAAATCCTGCCTATGCCATCACAGAACCCCCATCTTACCATCTGCTCATTCCGACTTCTTTCTTCCTCAAATCGTGCCAGTACTATAACTGCAGGTTCATCCAAATTCATTTTTTTTTTTTTTAGCTCAAGAGACTTTGTTTCCACTCCTCTTTCCACGTCACCTTTGGCCCACTTTAACACATTTCTCATGGCACACGTAGATCAATTTACAGCTGCCAAAATTTGTCTTAGAGATCGTCCTGCTTCTTTGTCGGTAAATTTCACTTATTTCCAATTCTGATGATGTTTTTCCACCACGTATTGTTTTAAATCACAAAAAACCATTTAAAATTGGCATCACCTTTGTAATAATGAATGATACTACCTTCTGGTGACAACTAATTAAACCAATAATTAATAAAAAAAAAAAAATTATCATACTAATTTTCTGCANACCACGTATTGTTTTAAATCACAAAAAACCATTTAAAATTGGCATCACCTTTGTAATAATGAATGATACTACCTTCTGGTGACAACTAATTAAACCAATAATTAATAAAAAAAAAAAAATTATCATACTAATTTTCTGCACCCATGTTTATTCTTTTGAAAAAATTAAACCATTGAAAATCGGTGATAACTTTTTTGTAATTTTTAGGAATATCTGACAATGTTTACTGTGTTGTTTAAACCATCAATTTAATGTATTTATTATATTAGTATTGTCATTAAAAAACTTGGGTGTGTTTACAATTTTGAAATGGACTGTATATTCTAGGTGGCAATAATTTTTAAAATTATCCTTCTGTCGTTATTTCGCGAAGTCGGTAGAATAGAATAAAATAACTCGTCTTAAGACACAAAAAGTGGCTTAATTAGCAACGTAGAAACGGTAAGGGGTTACCTTCCTATCTCGCCACATCCCGCAACAAAATTAAATAAAGCCGGCCCAAACCGAAATATAAGTTTCTTACCCACTGCGTTCAGAAATTCGAAAATCTTGCAGTTGGTGGCGGTGGAAATCTTGGCTTTTCCCTCCAGGTCGTGGGCCCTGGTTCCGTCCCCGGCGGTGATCCGGTCCTTGGACACCAGGACCACCCGATCGGCATCGTCCTTGATCCTGTAGACGATCTTGGTCTTTCCTTCGATCACCACTTCGCCTAATTCGACGCCTAGGAAAAATAATCCGGCATTAAAACCGTAGTGTAAATTACGGTACAATATATTAAAACGTTTTATTCCTTAAAGCACTTATAGAATTAATTTAAATAATTAAACACGAAAGCTAATGTGGAATCGGATGCAAAGGATTTATATTTGTGTGTTTGGATCTCGACACTTATCCTAGGCAACAGATGATCCTAGATAGAAAACAGGTTGCAAGTGGTAGGAACATTACTTTAAAAAACGGGAGGTAAATAGCGACATCCGTTAATTAGCATCGAGTGTCTTTACTACATTCCATCTAGTGTAACGAGATATCGCATTTGCGATACGTTTCGAATAACACGTTGTTTGGGTTAAATCCACCAATTAAATAAACATTTGCGAAATTCAGTCATTTAATTTTTTCCACGCGAATTTAACTGCATTCTTCCTACCAAACACGCTACGTTACAAAGTTCGACGTTTTTTATGTACAGTACGTCAGCGGACTTTACACCCCAACAAACACGAGTAACGTCGACCTTGGGCCTCGATATAACGTTTCGCCATCCTTAAAACGTAACGTCGTTTGCGCGTGGTTATAAAAAAAAAGTAAGTAAACAACAAATTAAAAGGAGCAAAGACGAGGAAGAAACTTACCGCCAGCCATTGTCGCAGCACGTGTTCGACGAAACGCCCCCTGCCGTAATTGTAACTTCCGCAGAAAAAAAATAGGCGTCGAAAGCCGGCCGAGGGAATTTTCGGATGTTTGGACGAGCGAGAGTAAAGCGGCTTACGTAGCGGAAAACGATGTGTATATCGTCGACAAAGGAGGTTGTTTAATTAAATGCCCGTAGAGTTACGTAAGATGGTGTGATATTCTTGCGCGTCCTTATCTGGCGATTTCGTAAATGCTCCGATTATATTGAGTAATTTTAAGTCGATTGAGCCCGAGGACGATCGGACGAATCGGCGGAATCTTTAAAAAAAAAACAATAAAGAGAAACTCCCTCCTCCAAAAACGCAAAATGTGCGGCGCTCGATTTTAATTCCTCTTCCCGAAAACCTTCCAAAAATTTATTATTATTATAATGGAGAGGTGCGAAAGCGAATTGGACCAGCTCCAGGAGAACTGCGGCCTGTTCGGGTGCGTGGCCAGCGGAGAATGGCCCACCAATTTGGATATTTCGCACATCATCGTTCTCGGTTTGGTCGGATTGCAACACAGGTGAGTTTTTTCCTTGGCCTTCTATAATTTAAGTTCCGTTTTACCGATTAAATTAATAACGACGCTCGAATCGTTTTATTCTTTGGCTTAGTTTTGATATAATTAGAGAGAGGCGAAAGCCGATTGGAAACAAAACTTCTGTATAAAAACGCTTCAAAGAAAAAAAAAATTCATTTTCTTCGGTGTCTTCCTGTTGACGCTCGGCGGCGCTGCTTAATCTAGGCGATTAAAATTCAAGGATATATTTTTTTTTTCTTCTTGAACTTTCGGATAAATTTATTATCGTTTTAGATAATTGCTTGATATTCGATAATTTTATTAAAATTGCAAAACTTTCTTATCTTTTACTCTTGTTCCGTCGGATTAAATCGCTTTTAAAATTCAAATCGCATTTTTATTTCTATAGACATCCCGTAAACCCCCATTTATTCAAGTTAGCACGCGCTTTTGCATTTTATTAATCAATAAACGTTTCTAGACGTGCCGCATTCCATTTAAACGAAGAGTCCGAATTCGATTTCCGTCGAATTGTTTACAGCAAACTCCGAACGAGAAAAGGCCGGTCTTTACCGCTATCTAAAGCAAATTACCCGCCATTTTTCTAAAAACCCGAATAATCGCCGTCTTCGGAGGAGTATTCGACAGGAATCGTATAAAAACAGCTTCGAAATAATATACAATGGCTCTTTGTTTACGAATCGATCGATCGAGATCGCAATTCTCGTACCTCGATGAAGCGTCGCCGCCTCCTGCCCGGTTATGATTTTCAAGGCCTTATATTGACGTTAATTAAACGAAACTGAAAGAAAATTAATTATATTTGACACGAAATTATCTTAAAATTAAGGTCATAAATTCAGAACTTAAATTTCTATATCGTCTAGAAACTAAGTGTGTAAAGTCGTGGGTTCGGTTCTCGCATACATTTCTACCAGACGTGTATTTAAATGCGTATAACCGACAACAAACGAGTATACTCTCTAGGAGGCAGCCACAATATATAATTAAACATTAATAAAAACCACAGATTTCTATAATCATCGCCAAAGAAAGGTTCGAATCCTCGACTTTTGTATGATTTTATTTCGTACGTAGCGTATATTAAACACTAAACTTTAAATTTTTACGAATTAGCGTAATGAAACGGATGCCGTCGTACGTCGATACAAATCCTAGAGTAAATCTAAATTAAAATTTCGTTAGATTTGTATAAACTTTTAATAGAACTAAATGAAAAATTCTTTAAAGTATCTTCTTGTTGCTAAGTGTTTTCTTCTAAAGATCAATTATTCGGATAGGCGCTAGGCGTGAGAGGTTTTATCTAAAAATATTTGTTTACATTAATTATACGGGAGTAAACGAGTGATCTAAATATTATATAAATATTTTTGTATTTTAATCGTTGCTTTCTTTGTTGCAGAGGTCAAGAGAGTGCGGGTGTCGCCACTGCCAAAGGAGATAACACCAAAACCATATCCATATCCCGCGGCATGGGATTGGTCAGCGGCGTGTTTAAGGAAGAAGACATGGTCAAATTGAAAGGAAATTTGGGTTTAGGACACACGAGATACTCGACGCACGGCGGTTCGGAACACGAGAACGCTCAACCTTTCGTGGTACACACCAAACACGGTCTGTTGGCCGTGGCGCATAATGGAGAATTAGTAAATGCGCCGTCTCTCAGAAGAAGCGTAGGATTTTTTTATATTTTCGGGTCTTTTTATATAATTACGGTGTTTACGGTGTAGATAAGCGCAATCGGGATCGACGGTGATAAAATTTCGCGCGTCACGGGAGCGATATCGACCGAAGGTTCAACAATTGCGTCAGAGTTTAATAAACACGATAATCGTGTGTTAAATAAGCAAAATTATCGATCATTTAGCATTGGATAAGCTAAAAAAAATTATTCAAAATTTCACTAATTATCGCTTACCACACGTAAATTTACAGTATACAGTACTTTCACAATTAAAATGTATACTTACCGGCGATTGGCTATGAGTAAATAACGAAGTCGAGATTTCTGCAATTAAAAATAGGCTTTTAATGCTTCTTTTAATCTAAAAAATTAGACAAAATCAGGAAATAAAAAATTACATCCTTATCCGAATTTTAATTTAAAAAATTGTTACTTTCTATGAGAATTACTATATTTTTTAAACTTAAAATATACTTGGATAAATTAAATTCTTTTTTCTGTCGTTACATTAATTAGTAGAACTTTTACTAATTAAAATTACCTAGAGAACATTTTCCAATAAATTGCCGAACCACCGAACACTAGTTATAACAGTAGTTGGTCGCGGGTTCGCACCCGACCAACGGAACGACCGCGTGGAGTCTACCGAATTTTCTTCGCGTGTTTAATACCTAAATAAAGGTCGGTTGCCAGTAGTACCCCAGAGAATAACCGAAACTCCGACACTAATGCCGTGTACTTTTCTAGATTTTAGAAAAAGGAGTCGGCCTGTCCACGGGATCGGACAGCGAACTGCTGACGCAGATCCTAAGCATGCCGCCCCCCGAGGGAGAGCCGGACGGTCCCGACTGGCCCGCCAGGATAAGGCAGGTCATGACCCTGACGCCCATAGCCTACTCTCTGCTGATGATGTACCATGACACCATGTACGCGGTCAGGGATCCGTACGGCAACAGGCCTCTGTGTCTGGGGGTCTTGGTTCCCCCCGGAGAATTGGCCAGTGAGTGCAATTCGAAATATGTATATATATATATATTTTTTTTTTACGCACGACACTAGCATCTATTGTTTTATTCCTTCAGAAAGCAGTACGGAGGAGATCGACGGTTGGGTGGTTTCTTCGGAATCCTGTTCTTTTCCTTCCGTTTCCGCAAAACTACTGAGGGAAGTGGAACCGGGAGAAATCGTGGAAATCACCAAATTCGGGCCCCGCTCTTTGGGAATAGTCGGAAGGCCCGACAACGACTCGCCGGCCTTTTGTATATTCGAATACGTATATTTCGCCCGGCCCGACAGTTTTCTGGAAGGTAAGTGTCCGAAATCCATAGATTCCAAACTGGATTTTAAAGATTCAACTTTTTGTGTCCGTCGTCGACAGGTCAAATGGTGTACAGAGTGCGAGAAGAATGCGGTAGGCAATTGGCCAGAGAGGCACCCGTGGAAGCGGACATGGTCAGCACCATACCGGAATCGGCAACACCCGCGGCTCTAGGATTTTCACACGAGGTAAACCTTCTCATTTTCTTGCCCCCGGTTATTCTCTTAATTAAGTTTTAAGCGCTAAAACTCTTGCAGAGCGGAATTCCCTACGTAGAGGTCCTGTGTAAGAACAGATACGTGGGTCGTACCTTCATCCAACCCAGCAATCGACTGAGGCAGTTGGCGGTGGCCAAGAAATTCGGACCCCTCAGCGATAACTTCAGAGGAAAGAGGGTAATCCTGTGCGACGATTCGATAGTCAGGGGCAACACGGTGGGAGCCATCATTCGAATGTTGAAAGAAGCCGGAGCGAAAGAGGTAAGATTAACTAACACGCGCGGTTTTTATGCGGTGCCATTTTAAATTTTAATTACATTGTCAGGTACACATCAGAATCGCTTCCCCTCCTCTGCATTATCCGTGTTACATGGGCATCAACATCCCCACTAAAGAGGAGCTGATCGCTAACAAACTGAACGCCGGACAACTAGCCAAGTCGCTGGGTGCCAGCAGCCTGGTCTATCTTTCGGTAGAAGGCCTGGTGACGGCGGTACAGAGGAAAATCAAGAAAGACAACGGAAGGCCAATAGGGCATTGTACCGCCTGTCTGACCGGAAAGTATCCCGTCGACCTGGAATGGTAACGCGCGCCCGAACCGCATTTCCTTTTGTTACTTACTTAAAATTGTGATATTTATGAGGAAGTGGGTTCGTCCGTGCGAAATAAATACATTCCTCCTGTACTTCCCTGTACATTTAATCTATCGGATAATATAGATTGTTAAAGCAATAATATATTAATTTACCAGTAATCTTGTAAAATATCTCCAAATTTCGCTTTGTATTGTCGTAAAACGGAAAACTGCATCACGTGATTACCTGGACGTACTTTCCTCCGTCATCTCTTTTCCGAGGAGACGATGCAATTAAAAAATCCGAAGAATAAAAAAATTGATTTTTCTATTATAACAAAAATTAGAATAAACTAACACGAAACGAGTGACAACCATTATTCCGGACTCTGTTTTTCTCTCCTACCCTTCAGCCAGAAACCGGACGATTACTACAGGCGATAATTCGAACAGAACGAGTTGCTTAACTTTCCCGGCAACATTTGGTGGAGTCGTGTGTTATCATAGTTAAAAATATACGTTTTTACTAAAATAATATAAAATGGCAAAAAGGTTGATTTTGTGAGTAGCGATTTTTTAAGAAATTAAGGTTTTATAAAAAGTTGTAAACCAGTAAAATCGTCATTAACTCCGACCCCACCCTCGACCTTTAACCAAAATTTAACGGCATCGATCTCATAAACCTCCCGGGCAAATTTTCAGAATTTTTCGACAAAACGCACGGGACTAATTTAGCTTCAAACACACACACACACAAACATCAATACATACAGGAAAACCCCCATTTTCCGCATTTCTCCATGTTTCGAGGTGTCCCAAGTCTAAAAATTTAAAAATCTCGTGGGCCATTTTTGACCCATGGCCATCCACACACACACACACACACTCTCTCTCTCTGTTACATATAAGAGAGTGAAAAGTAAAAATCAATTTCCAAATATAATAAAATCATCAAAACTGCGGACGGTATCGGCCTTGACGATTTTAATTGGATACGGCCCGCGGGCTGCCAGATTGCCACCCGCTTTATAGCATTGGTTAACTGTAAAGAAGCGTGCTTTTTTCTACTGCAGCGAAATTTCGCGTACTCCGTAATACTGTTTATAATAGCGGTCACCCGTTTAACAAATGAGGAAGAAACCTGCCACAACTAAGCCATCGGTTAGTACCCGAGTCGATTCTCTCCCAGGACAGACTAACCATCTGGAAATAATGTTAAAGCGTGTTTGCCAGATTTGTTTTTTGCGAGTGTTTTAACGAACATTCTTCATATTTATAATTCATTATACAATTTCTAAAGAATTCGAAAGGCTACGGATCTATTTCGTGCCTCCTTACTCCGTTAATTTTAGTCTATTTCTTTCAATTTCGCTGTTATTGTTTATATATAATTACTGAAATCTTTTCTGAATTGCTGGCCAATAAGTTCTTTTTCCATTGGCGTACCAAAGAACAGAGATTCTTCCACAGAAACGGGAACCATCGCGCGACCGGATGCGATAAAAAAAACCGGAAATTTAATTTGGTCGGAAGGGCACGATCTTATTTTGGGGGTCTTTTAATCGCGGGTCCACAATAGGAGGCCCGGCACGGTCATCCCCGAGATAAGGATTTAAAACACGACCAAAAGCTATGGAAGTAAGAAAAAAGGATCCAAGTACAATCAAATATTTATTTTAATCTGTCAACGCCGGAAAGGTTTTTAAATATTTCACCACGAGAAGATAAGATATTTACGATAAGAAAAAAGATTTATATGCTATTTAAATACGCTACGCTTTATATTCTTCCCATTTACCGTCCATCTAACTTACTGGAATATACATTAGGAATATTTGGCTGCAAAAAATAAATTAGAAATGTTTAATTGACGAATTTGAAAAATACGAATACCAAATAATCGGTTAATTTCATTTAATAATTATCTCTATCCACTGATTAAGCCTTTCTGGTGATGGGCCAAAGTTCACGGGATTTTCCAGAAGTAATTCGGTTTTATTGAATTATACTATAACAAGATCGCAATGCGAGTCTGAAATTATATTGTTGTTTATGAGCCTGGGTAGGAACCTTTATCGAGCGAAGGGTGAAAGTGCGCTTCCCGAGAAAATCGAAATTAAAAAATTCCCAGCGACTTACCGGTAAGCTTTGTGAAACCATTTGGCGGCAACATGCCTTACTTGTAGTTGCACGATTGCAAATTATGTGCGTTTGTGTGTTTTGTCTGTTTATTTGCTATTAAAAAGGTGCATTTTCTCTTCCTCGAAAATTCATTTTCAAAATTGCCTTGTTAAAAACGAATGTAAATCTTTTGCGTTTGGGAATATAAGAATATCGTAAACAATTTGACATTTTAAGCAATTAAATTCACTCGAAACATTATTAGTCATAACAAACTCCTAATATCGCATTGAATTGTTATACGCGACGGTAAACACTCACCTTTCGACGTCGATTCTCCGGTTTCTTCTTGTTTACATCCCGAGTATATTCTCTTTCCCTAACTAATAAAACAAGCAAATGATAAAAATGAATTAAAATTATAACGCAAGAATAATAAAATCATAAACTACATAATAATTAATCATTCGAGTTCTAAAAACAAAATTTATTTTAAACAATTCCCAAATGAATTTTCGAGGAATAAAAAAAATGCACTTAAGAGGATAGAGAAATAAATTATTTTGGAAAAACAATTGCCACGTGGTTCCCGTCTTTAGAAGAAAATTTACCCTAGTACGAAAAATCTTGCACTTAATTTGGGACTTTTGTGTCCACACTTCCAAGAAGTCCACTCTCTCATCTGTGCCAAATTTGGCAATTCATTTTCCGCCAACGTGGCTAGCTATTATTTAGATCAACCTTGTTCCTTGTTTTCTCTAAAAGAATGAATTATCTTTTAGATTAATTGCTAAATATTAAATTCAAGAATGTTTAATAAGCACAAAACTGATACCTGGATGTTTATCCATGGAGTACATTATCTATCTCACATTAGTAGATTTTTAATTAATTTAATTATACCAAGGGCAAAAAGCAATTTCTTTACATCAAGAATGTTTGTTTGTTTGTTTTTGAGTATCATTTGTTAGCTTTTATAATTAATTCTTAGATGGTTATTTGATTACTTTTTAAATCCCACGTTTCAATAAGCAATATTTTACACTTACTTGATTAAATGATGTCAATTTTAAACATAATTAAACTATTTTGACTTTAACAATATATCAAAATTATACTTTCAATAGTACTTTAATGTTTGTTTCTACTTGTAATAATTTAAAAACATTTCAAAATTTACAGAAAAAGTCATTTTAGCAACGACTATAAAGCTCTCATATTTAGAATGTTTTCTCTAAACATAGGGGTAATGAATTTATTGTGTTTTCAAAAGATTTATAATTGCTTAGTGTAGTGTTTTACTATAGATTTGTGTATATAATTTACATAAATTTATAATAATACTTGTATAAGAGTATTTTTTCTATTAATTATTTTGTAGCTAGATTGATTAATTTATTATTAGTATTGTAAGTCTTTTCTAGAAAGTTCTGACTAATATTAAATACTGTATAGTTATTTTGCTATGTATCGACCTGGTATTATTTGTTAATATAAGGCTTGAAGTAAGGACAACGTGAATTATAACAAGCATTTTTATTTAAAACATCATTTAAAAACAGTATTTACAGAAAAAAATTCAGTTTGCATTAACATCAGAGTGGTTCGTGAAATCTAAAGCAGTCGGAAACTACTTTCCACACGTGGCCCTCCTCGCCCTGTTGGGCGGTAATCAGTAGCGATTCCGAAAAAAGATAAGGAGATCTTCCGCTGAAATTCATGGTGCCGGCTGCCGTAATTAAAACGGTTGTTTGACCTTGAACGAACTGATCTGGGATAAAAATAATAAAATTTATTGAATGTAAAATTGATTCAGATTTTATTATTTTATTTGCTTGCAAAATGTTCTAACAGAAACAAAATACAGTGCTATGAAAATATTTTTATGAAGATAAAAATTAGTTAAAGTAGTAAAAATGATTCTCAGCAATAAGGTGTATATGTTGTATAATATTCAATGAGTCTGAGTGTATGTTGAAGATAAAATTTATAGCTTTTTTCAAAATATCTACACTTAAATATATTATACATTGAAATACAAAATTAAAGAATATAAATATTATTATTATTATTATAAATTAATTAACTTTAGATAATATGTTCCAAGACTTTGTTCGCTATCCAAATTGTTCGTTAACCAATTATCGATTTACCATAGATTTTTCTGGGAATTTGATTAATTCGTTCTGGAGACCCCAAAAAATAAATAAAAAATTATATGTTTTTTTTACTATGTTTACTTATATGTAATAATAAATACATATATACAGTCTTGCATTTTTATTAGTCATATCGTTTTTCTGTTTGTGAGGCATTAAAGAATCTGTCCAATGTCAATTGCTTTTCTCTCTTCTTGAGGATTTTTCAGAAGAAATTAATAGCATTGTCGTCATACAGATCCCCAAGCCTATTAACCTCAACCTGGTTTGGATGTCATTCTAAGACTGTTGTTCTGACATCCTCCCACTTCTTCAAAAGATGTTTAATAGCAGATATTGGCATTAATCCTCTTTTTCAGAAAAGAACATATCTTGCCAAGTTTCTTGATGTTCTTCATTCAAGAGTTCTTGGCATTTTTCTGTTGTCAGATCAGTTTCCATTATGAGCTCTTCAATGTTCTTTATTTCTCAGATATGATATTTGTTACTACTTTAGCTGCTTGAGTTTTCTTAATTATACTGTATCTTTCTTAGATAAGATTGAACTGTGCCCTACTGTAGACCTGTTCGAGCCATACTGCCCAGCAACATCAGACATCTTCTGCCCACTCTCTACCTTTGCTATTATACTTTCACATTTCAAAAATAAAAACCGACGCAAAACTTAATGAGTGCCCGCCCGACAGTCTCGCAAATACTACAAAACAATTGTTTGTCAGAAAAATAAAAGGCTGGAATTACAAGGGAGTATTTCAAAGTTCGGGGAATACTATCTGATCAGTATATATCGGGTTGACGTCTCCCGCACTCCAAAAAGTTACCTGAAGACAAAGGAAAATCAATCGGTATTTGCTATTTCTGTCACTTCTTTTTATGTTTGTTCAGTGAAGTGTTCGTTATCCGATTTGTTCGTTAACCGATCACCCACTGTATTCTAAATTTAAATCTAAAAATCTTAAAGAATCTGTCCTGTCCAATGTCGATTGCTTTTCTCTTTTCTTCAGGAATTTTTGGAAGTAATTAATAGTATTGTAGAGACTGCAATTGTAATTGTAGAGATCCCCTACCCCATTAACCTTATTCTGGTTTGAATGCCACTTGGATGATCATTGTTCTGACATCCTCCCAATTCTTCAAAAGATCTTTAATAGCAGATGTTGGCATTGATCCTCTTTCATCTTCCTTTTTTCAGAAGAAAACACATCATGCTGAGTTTCTTGGTGTTCTTCATTCGAGAGTTTTTGAAGTTCTTCTGTCATCAGATCAGTGCAGTGGGCTGCAGTGATATGCAAAAATACTAAGTGGGAAGCAGGGATGCAGCCCACAGGTTGGACATCTCTGCTCTAGGCAGTGTCACATGACACTTGTCCAGAATCACCACCTTACTTGTGTATCAATTGATATATTAATAAAATAAGACTGGATAAAATATAATCTGTATACATACGTCTTAAAAGTATCTATCTTTTTTGAAATAATAACAATCTAAATACTTTCAACCTCAAAAAATTTACTCTTAATCCATTGAAAGATATTGTGATTATCTAACTATCAAAATTTTGTATATAAAAAAGAAGAAAAGTATTTTATTTACTAGTGCTTTTTTATCACAGAAATATTTGTTGTTGAGTTACTTGGAAAGAGCAGTTTTCAAGCAATATATGTTTATATAAAATTTTAAGCTTAAAATCATCCTGACATTTTTCCTGTCACAAAAATACAAAGAGAAACAGCAGCACTGGAAATCAATAAATTGTAACAAAATTTTTGAACAAGCGAAGTGAATGAAAAGTTGAGTGAAACAAAGGAAAGGTGGCCTGAGATGGAACAAAGCAAACAGGTGTAGGGAGATGAGAGTTGGGCCAAAAAGCAAGCAGGGCTGTGGTACCCAGGGAAGGAGAGTGAAAGGAGCAAAGCAAGGAACGACCAAGTAAATGGACGTTTGGTTGTAAAAGGTTGCCCTCTTGTGAAGAGTTGAACTGTCACAAAATTTTCGTTATGAATGGTCTATACTGAAACAAGTGGACCAAATCTATGGGTTGAGTAAGTGGTGCAAACCACATAACCACAGAATAGGAATCTTTTATGGGGCATTCAAAACAACATGATATCTGACCTGTTACACTTAAAGAAGAAATAGAAAATCAATTTTATAACAAGTTTTAAAAAGATTTAAGGGTTAGAAATGTTAGAGAAGTTTGAAGAGTACTAGTACCAGTACTGAAATAAAAATTACTCTATCATTTTTTTTCTATTGATAGAATTCAATGTGTCTTTGAGGCAGTTCTACTCAGAGAACTTGTCTCCTTGTAAGAGTTATTTAAGGCTTATTTTATAGAATTTAATTTGTAATTGAGAATATAACATCTTTAAAAATATCTCCAAATCAATCGAGAAGGAATTAAGAATGTTTTGTTTCTGAAACTTAATCTCAAGTTTTCATCTATTTCAAACTAAATGCAAGTTAACTCTTTCTATCCCAATAACCAGGGCAAGAGACATTTTGATTAAACATACTATTCATTTAAAAAAATAAATTTAAATCTGAATTGACAATCTTAAAAGTTTGGAAGCCAGATTAAAGCATGAGATATTTAAACATTTACTTGTTATAAATTAACTGCATGGAAAAATTAACTATAAAATTGGCAAAAATGTAACAGTTTTTTCTGACGTAATTAATAAAAATTATACTTGATTTAAAATTTTCAGATTCATTATCCTGTGTACAGTTTGCCAACAGACTGGCCCATGGGGAAAAATAATTATCCATGTCTGTTCTAACCTATATATTGTTGATTAAAGTGTATAAACATCTTACTATCAAGACTCTATGATTATAAAAATTATTCACAAGTAGCAATTATAATTTAAATGATTTATTTGTCTAGAACAATGATTTTCAATAAATATATCTTCCAATTATAATAATTTTGATTTCTAAACAATATTAATAGTGTGTAAACAGAATTAGCTGTTATAAATTACAATTTTCATAATAAATAACAAAAAAGAAAAATACAAATGATAAGAAAATTTTATTAAAGAAAACAATGCAAATTTAAAACATAAAAAAAGAAGCACTAAATTTGAAAATCTAACATAAATAATGAATCAAAAAGAAAAACTTAACAAAAATTTAAAATGCAAATCTAACAAAGATTCAAAATTAAAATATACTGAATAAGCATTAATAAACAACAATGTAAATATAAAAATTAAATTTGAGATAATCAAAAAGTAGGAATGCATAAATAACTCAACCCACATCAAACAAAGTTTAAAGACAGCATAATTAATTATTTAATTGGAACAAAAAAGAATAGAAAGTAATGAATTATATTTACTGACTTTTATGATCAAATAAAATAAGTTTCATTTCAAAACTTAACAAAAGGATACAAGTAAAGTCTTAATATGAGAAGAAATTGAACTGAACTATCATCAATTAGTGGAGTCTAGTGATCAGAATCATGTGCTATTCCAATATATATCATAGAAGATATTAAAAGGTTTTGACACTTCAAAGAATTATTTTAGTTGTTTGAGCTTTCAGATTTTTTTCTGGTAATATATCAATCATCACTTTTTGTAATTTTCCAATAAAACTTGCTTTAAACTACACTCTTTGCTTCAATGAAGTTGGATTATTTGGAAAAACTAACACATTACAAATGAATGAAACTTTAAGTTCCCACTGCATCAATTAATCAATTATTTTGGATAAAAGCATGTACAATTAACACAGGATGGAACCTTCAATAAAAATTCCACAAAACATTTTCCAAATTCATGAAAATTCTGTTTTCCAGATTTTCACAATTACATAAACCCTGTATTATCTCCGAAATTATGAATGTACAATAGACCCCCTATAAAATGGGTTCGAATAACACGAATTCGTATATCATGGCGAAAAAATTGCGATTGTATTCATATAAACACACTAAAAGAGACTTGTATAATACGGTAAAATGTCATCGCCGACAGGATTGGTCTAATCTAGACCAATAGTGGATATTGCACAAACTGTTGAGTTTAAACGAGCAGTGGACCTACTAAAAACCATTTATTATTTAACAGCCATAAAAATTATATTTATATTAATGATGTCTCCAAAGTTCAGCAAATTTTTTGCAGAAAAATAATTTATCAGAAAACGCGCCTGCCGTTTGGTGCGCTGCTCCACGACGAAAACAAGCTTAATTAAGCAATGGCGCCGTCGAACGGTGCACACTCGATAAGTAATCCTACAATTTTTTGTTTATAGCATAGTTTATATGGATTATTCCCAAAAAATTGTGTGTGTTTTGGAAATGTTGAGTCAAATTAGTCTAGAATGATTAATTTTATGGAAGAAAACCTTTCAAACAGCCATAGTCCCTAAACTGCACACATGCCAGGCTGTGATTGGCTCACGTATTTAAGTGATAGTAAAACACGAATTCATATAAAATGGAACGTATCTACTGTATTATAGGGGGATCCACTGTATCTAGAAGCAAGGAGCCAAGTAAGCAAGACAATGATAGACTCTGTTTCATATCAAACTAGGTCATTGGCTTGCTTCTTAGCTGCTTGCCACCTACTGTAGATGCACTCTAAGTTATAATTTAAAAAATAATAGCTAATAACACCTTACAATGACAATTCTGTATATGTGTAGATCAATTTTAGCGTAAACTTGATTGTGTGTATAGTTCTGATCAGTTTTAAAAACAAATGTGTGTGTGTGTATTTACTTTAAAAACAATCCAAAACTATAAATAATACAGAAAATATTATTTACAAATATCTAAAATTAATTAATTACTACTTAAAATATTATATTTCTGTGTAATTACCATTGATAGGTTGAGCATCAATACAAGTAACTGTACTTTCACTCGGAGGAAGCGATTCGAAAAATTTTCCAATATTTTCTTTTCCCGAAACAGAATTGCCATTCCAAGTGACATTTGCTGCATCTAAATATAACTTTGATACAACCTAAAAGAAAAAACATTTAAATTAAAAATTTAATGAAATTAATGTACAGTAGATTCTACAGAATCTACTTTATGACCACTTACTTTACAATCTTTCCTCTCTCATAACTCATATAAATTTGACATTATGATTAAATTAATGTTGTATTTAAATACCGTATTTTTCTATTAATCATTTCTGTACATTATATTCATGAAAATATAGATAACACATATTTTTGTGAATGTGAAATCTTAATTTACAACACAAAGTTTGTAGAAAATGAGACAGTTTGACTTACAACAGCTCACTTAAGTTTTCCAAGAACAAAATTAGGTCATAAAACTAAAAAGTCAACTGCATTTGCTACAAACTTTCCATTTTAAAACAAATTAAAAAAAGAAATAATGAAACTACAGTACTTACGTGTCTTCTTTTGTCAAAAGTTTCATAAAACTTTTTTGCAAATTCTTCTCCTGACTGACAGGCTTGATCAATTTTCACTTTCTTATCCTTGAAAAAAATTTTTTTAAGTTAAATATGCAAACAGCACATAATTTTAATTTAAGTAATTGTTTTTAAACCATCAAGAAATCTCTATTGCATACAAATTTTATAATTAGAAAAGCTAATTTTAGTAATAGGTTTTCAAACTTTGAATTGATGAGTAATTCTGATTTTGTTAAAATAAAGATTTTATATCAAAAATAAATAATTTTACCTTTCACTTTTTGGTTATTTTAAAATATAAATAACAAAGGTGCATCATATATGCTTTAATTAATATATGAAGAAAACAGAGAGGTGAATTTTAAGAACATAAATATTTCTACAAAGTGAAAATAAAAATATCTGCTTGATGTAAATACTTCAAGGGCCAGTTGCATATGTTTTAATCTCAAGGTTAAATGTATTTAAATCTACACAATTACACAGTGCACAAATGTAAATCTTTGAGATAAACTGCCAGACAAGTTTGACAGTCATATTTGGATGGATAAAATATTTTCTGCAGATTAGTAAAAATTTAGATGTGGTCAACCTTGACTCTGATGTGGATAACAAATTTACATTTTTCTAGAAAACACAATTGAGTGTAAACTGAAAATACTAGGCTGTTTGACATCCTTTATTCCAGAAATCAGCAACCAGTGATCTGTGGACCATTGATGGACCGTGAGAAAATTTGGGTGGTCTGTGGAGAAATTTGGGTTGTTTTGGGTGATCTGTGGACCATTGATGGGCCATGAGAAAATTTGAGTGGTCTGTGGAGAAATTTGGGTGGTCTGTGGGGAAATTTGGGACGTTGATCAACTGAAGATTACTTCACGTAACCTTCGGTTGATCAATGTCCAAATGATCAATTACAAAAGAAATGCAAAAATGCTTACTTGCTTTTTTCCACTCATTGGGGGGCTTCTTCTTATTTGAATCTAAATCCAAATACAAAGTGACTGTTACCAATAAATAATGAACAATAAACAATATTCTGAGTATGATTGTCGTCCTTTGTGGAAAAGCACTAAGAATCCATAAACTTATTTCAAACAAGCAGTAATGAACTTTAGGCTTGCATTAATTTATTATAATTAAACAAGCGCGTTTCATATTAATATAGTAAAATTGAACTTTTACGATCATTATTCTACAGATTTTGTATTGTTTAAAAAAATTTGTGATAGTGGTCCACGAAATTCAAAATTTGAGTTTAATGGTCCAAGAGGTCAGAAAAGTTGCAGACCGCTGCTTTATTCAATTCTTCTCTGGTAAATACATTTGTCAAAATGCATTTAGAATCTGAAAACCTCTCATCAGTTGACTAATATCAGTTTCACATTATTAGATAGAAAAATTACACCTAATTCATTTAACTTAACTATTCCAAAGACTGTGTTTTCCACATGTTTACTTTTGTAAAATCTCTTATTTCTTAAATTAATGAGGAGTTTTCAGGCCCAATACATATTTTGACTAATGTATTGATCAGAATCAAGAATTGAATAAAGGATACCAAACAGTCTAGCACTTCCAATTGACACCCCATTGTGTTTTCAAAAAAGTATACAAAGAGTAAAGCAGGGATTTAGCCACACAGGGCAGCAAGGGACAATGTTTCCTATATTAATAGTCTTCAATCCCTCTTCAGTCTCTCCCTTCAGTGTGAAAGTACTTGATATACTCGTAACTTTCTATATTCATAATAAGTTTTCCTAATAATAAGGATCAATACCACTTAATGACAAAATTTTATTGGCCATCGAAAAATTTTTTTATTTATTTCAGAAGTCAATCTAATTAACTCCATACTGTAACGTTAATCCGCCAGCACACACTGCGATTGCAATGCAGCAGTGGGTGCTGACCGATGCTTTGTAGATAACGATAAATTATTTAATGTTATCTCATCACAAAAAGTAGTAAAAGAAATTAGTTACAGTCCAACTGCCACAGAAGTAAGTATACTTGTGGAATATTAAACAATTGTTTTAATTTTGGTGACAATTGTTTTTAGAAATAAGAAAAGTTATACCCATTATTTCGAGATGGATAAAACTAAAAATAGTTATTTCCATTCCTCCTATTAAACATGATTCTTATAAAAATTTAAGAACAAATTGACACAATGGGACCTCAAATACAGCTGACAAAAAAGACATCATTTATGTTGCTGAATAATCAATTTAAACAAAATTATTATTATTTTGCTTAAATTAACTATTCTGTTACTGTTAACCATTGTAACAGAAACAGAATAGTTATTATTCATTTTTGCAAAAAATCTGTAATAAAAAATGTACACTTATGTGAGGACTAAATTTGATGTTATTACGTTTTTCACTTGCCAAATCGATTAACTCCCTCAACCACACCAAAATTGTAATAACAACAACCATTATAGCATATCCGTGCTATCTTATACATTTTATATGTCGTTAAATAAAAGCTACATCTACAATAATACATTCTACAATGTTTATTTGAATTTATATTTTACAAGAAATTTTTTATAAAAACATATATTACTTTGTCACTTTTCTCCATTTTTTGTTTTATGGAGTTAATCGATTTGGCAAGTGAGCAGCACATATATGAATCAAGCATAAATCTTTATTTTCAAACTATCCAAAAGTTGGACTTTAGGCATATAGCCTAAAGTCCAACTTTTGGTATACAGTGTACTGTACTGTACCATACCTTATACTTCTAACAACTAACTTTTGAACATTTCAGAATTCAAATGCAAAATTTGACAAAAGTTTGTCTTGTACTGCATGCGTAGTGAGAAAATACTCTCAAAGCATAACGCAATCTGTTGTCTGTTCAAGTTATCTCTTGCTCTTGCATTATGATTGTATGTTTCCTGTTTCATTTTATTTTTGGAATGTTTACTATATTGTGTGTTGTTCATCAATTTTTAACAATTTCTTTCTGCAATTTTGCTTTGTCCACAGCTTTTGAATGTCCCATATGTTTTGTATCTTTTAGTTCAAAATCTCTCAAACAGAACTTTTTAAACCACATTTGACATGAAATTTAGGAGCATCTTCCCTATTCAAAATCATGATTTTTTTTACTGTACAACGCTGTATCTCTCTTGAAATTCATAAAGCATAATATGCCCAAAACGCTTTTTATCTGAAGACATTACTTGATTTTATTTAAACCAAATCTGAAGTAAAGAGTTTAAAGTAAGCTTCTAAACAAAGAATTACACAATTATCTATATGTAAAATTTCACAAATGCTATAATTAAATCACACATCTATATTAAAATGCTGAAGTGCACCAATAGATGCAATTCTCATTTTATTATATAGTATTTATGTACTTTTGTGAAATTTTACATATTATAGATAATTGTGAAATTCTTTGTTTAAAAGCTTACTTTAAACTCTACTTCAGATTTTGTTTAAACAAAATCAAGTAATGTCTTTGAATAAAAAGCACAAGTCTACAACATTTCATAAACATAAGACAAATGGCTGGAACCTAAATCAATTTTACCAGAGACACAACAAACATTGTCAATTGAATAAAACTGCAGCTTTAAATGAGACAGTAAGGACTTTATCAAAGCTATAGACCATGCCTAAAGAAATAAAATTAATCAAATTATTCAACTGTCTGCACATGGACCTTCAGAAGGTACTGCACCCCAAAACTGTCTGCTCGTTAGACACAATAGGCTCGACACAGCACGCGACATGACTCCATTTGCAAATCAGAAATATTCAAAGCAACGGTATCGCCCATGTTTTACAAGCTTTTAGCTTGAAAAATGATTGATGTTTTAGTACATTTTGAGAAATAATTCTGGGTTTTTCTTTTTAAATGTTACCCCATTTTTGAAGGTCTCTAAAATTTCAGATAGGCAGGTTTGGGTACCATATATGACAAAAGGTCACAAGTATACCAATTGACTCTTTTAACTTTACTCCTATCAGGATCATGAAGCTTTAGACTGTATCTATATCTCTCTTATTCGAATGGCAAGACCATATAAGCAAACGACAACATTGGGACCTTAACAGAGCCATAGACCACACCCATGGAAGTAAGAATATCAAACGAACCATATGTCTACGGGCAACACTTCACAAGATATAGCTCCAAAAAATTGGACTACTTCCACCCCATACACAATCGAGAGTACAAGGAATTATGGGAGTGGCAAATTCCTCATTCAGAGTTCATGTCATACCCTATATCTTGCAAATGGTCGCACATAGAGGTACAGTCCTTTAACTTTTCGGTTCCTACGGGCACAATCTACAGTCAGCTCTCAGCACAGTCATTCACAGCTGCAATTTTACAAGCGTCAATGTATTGGGCCAGAAGTTGGTGCGACGTGTTATGGAACGTGAATTTTGTACTGTTATTCTCAACTGCCAGGGGGCGCCACATCGTTCTGCGCCTTTTTTTTGTACCAAGTTCCACCATGTTACAAACTAGCACAGAAAGCTTGTGCCAGTCGACTGTTCTTTGTATTTGTTTGTTCAATTAAACACAGTTTACAGTCAAACAGTGTATCATTATACACAATCTCTTCACTTTTAACATGATGTTAAAAGAACGAGTTATTTATAAACATTCTGCTTTAGCACAGATCTAAACTGACTCGTGAAATGGCCAGCAACATAATAATTAGCCTGCTAACGGTAATTAGACAGCAAAACTGTCCCTAAATCATCACACGCAAACTTATCGAAAAAGTGTCACTGATTAATGTTACCGTAGGTTCCAAGATGGCCGCGCTACAGTTAGGTTCGTTTCATTTCTGTTTGATTAGCTACATTTTTAGTAGACGTTTCCTTCTTTTTTATTTTGTTCAAGAACTACCGTGAATCAATAACTAGTGACCCGTTAAGCACTCGGTGGCTCCCCTCCAGGAGGAGTCCGTCTGAAAACAGTCGGAAGCGCAGCCATCTTGGAATCTAAGGTAACATTAACCGAGTCGAGTCACTTTAGGTCAATGTGTGTACATATGTTTTTATGGTTAAATTCCACATACGTATACCGTCATGGCGGCTCATCTCTGATTTCAGGAAACAAAAGAAAGGAAGCAGTGGAGACGCACGTTCAAACCTAACCTAACCTATTCTAATAATTTGGTTGGTAATAATTATGGTAATTTATTAGAATAGGTTAGGTTAGGTTCGAACGTGCGTCCCCACTGCTTCCTTTCTTTTGTTTCCTGAAATCAGAGATGAGCCGCCATGACGGTATACGTATCTGGAAGTTAACCGTTTTTAAGTACGAATTACCTAAAGATAACTTTACCTACTTAATATTGTATTTAACCTTACCATGTCGATACCTTACGTCAAACAACTTCTCTAAATACGTTATTTGTATTTTCTAAAATGACGTTACAATCTTCGTCAATCAAACGAAACCCAGACGAACTTGGCCGCTTTCGATATCAGCGCCACCTAAAATTTTGATCTTTTCAAAAAATTAAAACGACGAATTTTCTATCCAATTTCGCTGCTGTGCAGTAATTACATGTATAGTTCGACTTTAAAAAATTAATAATTAGTATAATGGAAATTGCCATTTTTATCATGATGATAATTTTAATAATTTTTTCTAAAGATATTATCGGAGTAATGAGGTTATATATATAAAAAATATGTTCGTTAGCCCGAAATAATTTTATCTGAGATCCGAAAATTTTTTTTTAAATTACTCATAAAAGTTTAACGAATTAAATAATTAAAAGCAAATCAAAATGACATCACAACCATCATAACATATTGCTGACAAAATGTAAATAAATGCATGGCCAGGAAGTTCTTATTATCTTATTACCTAGCCTAACCGTTCCAAGGAATAGCCAAACTTAACATTTTTTGCAGAACTATTTAGTCCAACTGTTCTAACGAAACTATCTAGCTCAGGCATGGCCAAAATACGACCCGTCTAATGAATTTATGCGGCCCGCGATTAATCTTTCAATAATAGCTAGTTAAGTCCGAATAGCTCGACGAAAAATTCTGACGCCTAAAAAAGAAAAGATCAACAACTCACTGTGCGTTTCAGTAGCGTACCGTAGTGGGGCGGCACTTTTTAGGGGCGGCAAAATTACCTTTTAGGAGTCGGCAAAGTTTCACAATAAATAATAATATCTTGTAAACATTTGAAACATTCTAATCTATACTTGCATCGGGCCTACGATAGTGCTATCGTCCGGACAGTCCGGGAATCGGCTCGCCGTCCGGGTGAACAAGTAATTTTTTTATTCAAGGAAATCCTGCGCAACCTGTTAACCTTTTTTTTACTTTTTTTGCTTATACGATTCATTCGCGTTCATATACACCCCTAATGTCCAATAGAACTATTTTAAACAGGTCGCTGCACTACCACCGAATTTTTCATTGCTTGTTCTGTGACAAAACGGAATTTTGGTCTTTTAAATTGAAATACCTAAATAAGGGGGCCGAAATTTTCCTCCGTCCCGGGCGGCTGACACCCACGGTACGCCACTGGTGCGTTTAGAGTTAACGCTCCATTACAAATGACCTAAGGACAGCGTAGAATGTTGATCAAATGCGTGATAACGTGAAAAATGTATCTGTAATCTCTATGTACAATTTAGTCTCTACGGGGTGACACCACCTCAAAATCTTCCTAGGACACTCTGGTTCGGCCCGTAAAAAAGTTTTCTTTCCAATTCGGCCCGGGGGCAAAAACTGCTAGCCATCCCTGATCTAGCTTAACGGTTTCAATAGAACCATTCCATCGGAAAAGTTCTGCACTCAGATCAGTTCCAGCAGCGGAACTGGATCTCCACCTCTACTACTATTAAAAACTTATTAAGTAATTTGGTATTAGAGATAAATGTTAGGTGCCATCTCTTATCAAAATTAATAATTATATAAATTTAATATTTATTAAATAATTTTAGAATTATCTGGAAGAAAGAAATTGGCCTTGAGGAGGATTTGAACTCGCAACTCCCGCTTACCATGAGGTTGCGTTGCCATCACTAAGACTGCCAAGTGATTTTTCACTTCCAGATATATTTAATTCAATATAACCATCCATGATGATAATACCAATAATTAAATATTAAATAATATCTAATTATTAACAGTAGCAAAAAATAGCTCGATTAATTACAGCGATTGTTAGTTTTTTATTCATACGTAGGGTTTAGTGATGTTGCTTAGCACCATCTACATTAAATTCGATAAAACATTTCACAATATTAACCTCTTTTCTAAATGATTTTTCTCTTCTTCCTCTATAATTTTTAATTTTTCATCAAAGTTTCTGTTTTCTTTCACAGTCCAAGACATAGTCTCCACTACCTCAAGACAATGTACTAATTTTGTACCATGTTGCCAGGCCTTAGGAGAAAATGTTGACTATTTAGAGACTGTTGAAACTCATACAGCTCACATTAGAAGCATTTCGAGCAAATGTTAACAAAGAGAATTTTAATGAAACAAAAAATTAAAAAAGAAAAACATTAACCCTCAACAAGGATTTATTTCCAGTAAGAAGAGGAAAAAGGATGTTAAAATTACTAAAGCATTTCAAAACACTCCACAGAAGAACAAGAACACGTTGCTTTGAATATCCTAAGTTCAATGAATTCTGAGGGACATTCTGCTTGAAATTCTTAAACACAGTTTTAAGAATTCTATGCAAGAAAGAATGTATGACATATAACAGTTTTTTTAATCCAAAGCTTATAAGAAATCGTATTTTACTATTGTAAATCTTAGTTATTTGCAATTCTGATATTTATGTGAAAACTTTTCTTATTGAGTGATGATAAATGTATATTTGAATTGTAAACTTGTTAATTTATATATAGTAGACCCCTATAACACAGTAGATACTAGGGTTTCTTTCCCGGGATCCCGGGATCCCGTTTTCCCGGGATTCCCGCCGTTTATTCCCTACGAGAAAAATCCCGGGAAAATTTATTTTTCCGGGAAATCTCGCATTTCAATAATAATTTATCATGTCAGGTTTTCTTTCTATTATTTATTATACGAAAAGTTGCATCTTGAAGACTTACCTATGTTTTACAAGTTTCTACTTGTTAGTTCATGTAATATCTATGTATTGTGTTTGCGCACCATTGAACAGCGGAGCACTCACTGAAAGTAAAAATCACTCATCGCACTTTAGTTTATTTTTTATTTTATCTTTAGAAATAAAATGGTATTTTTTTTCGTAATCATTAAAACTCCCAATGAAACGCTTTATTTTACTTTCATCTTATAATGTAGAACATAAATTAATTGAGCCTAACGTGTCTGTATGGGTGAGATTGGCCTACACCTTTAGTTACTTACTAGAAAATAAATTAAATTATTCAAATATATATTTCTGTATGATATTTTTTATTCATATAAAATTCTATTTTACTATCTCATCCCGGAATTTCCCGGGATCCCGGGAAAAGAAATTATTTTTCCCGTAATCCCGCTGGAGGCAAATTTCCCGGGAAATGAGAAACCCTAGTAGATACGTTCCGTGTTATATGAATTCCGTGTTGTACGAGTCACTTAAATACACGAGCCAATCACAGCCCGGCACGTATGCAGTTTACAAACTACGGCTGTTTGAAAGGTTTCCTTCCATAAAATTAATCGATTCTAGATTATTTTGACTCAACATTTCCAAAACACGTATAATTTTTTGGGAATAATCCGTATAAACTATGCTATAAACAAAAAATTGTAGGATTACTTACCGAGTGTACACCGTTCGACGACGCCATTACTTAAGCTTGTTTTCGTCGTGGAGCGGCGCATCAAACGGCGGGCGCGTGTTTTCCGATAAATTATTTTTCTGCGAAAAAATTCGCTAAACTTTGGAGAGTATCATTAATAAAAATATAATTTTTATGGCCGTTGAATAATAAATGTTTTTTAGTAGGTCCAGTGCTCGTTTAAACTCAACTGTTTGTGCAATATCCGCTATTGGTCCAGATTCGACCAATCCTGTCGCGTCACGAGTCGGCGATGACGTTTTACCGTATTATACGAACACGATCGCAATTTTTTCGCCGTGTTATACAAATCTGTCTTATATGAACCCGTGTTATAGGGGTCTACTGTACTTGGAATTTAAAATTATGATATTAAAATTTAATTATTTGTGCTTATTGTTTGATTTGGCATTTTCTTATATATTTAACTGGATTTTTTTGTAGTAATTTGTTTTTTGCTAACATTATTTAACCCTCTCTCTCTCTCTCTCCCTTCCAGTGTGGACAGGCCCTAATAGGATATATAGGACTTTGTGGAAAACTGGTTCCTATTTGGGTGTTAGACAGGTGAAAAAAGCTTGGAAAACTCTTCATGGCTAGCCCGTTGGTCAGGCGCGGCCAATTATCAGTTTTCAGTGGCTTTAAATCGAGAGAACGCACAAATGCCTAAAGATATGAGGATACGATGTCGTCACTAGTGTTGAGAAACTTGTTTTCATAGTCTCATTTTATTAAATGTATTATGTTTCTGAGTAACGCATAATTACATACTGTATTTCTAGTCGCTAGTTCAAGACTCATTTTATGTTGAAAAATATTTCAAAATTATTAATAGCGTTTAGACAAACCAAAAATAAAAAGTAAGAGAAAAAGTGACATTATCGGTATCTATCGCCATCTTTCAGCAGAATATTTTCTTGTTAATTAGCAGGCCCGGGTAAATCTTAGTTCTAAATTATGCCGCTACTGCGAACAGCGCCAGTGGCGGCAACTGGATTCGTCAGTTTCGGGTCGTGGTTACGAGCCTTATCATTTGTTTATCGTACTGTCGACGTTGTCGAACTCGTTATACGTTAAATAAAATGGAATGTAGCGAGTGTAGTTTTAAAATATACCGGTACAATACTGGTGTTTTCTATTCATAATTATAAATGCTTTATTCGAAATTATAAATGAAAATAAAATAAATTTATGAATAGACACCTTGCTTAATGCTTAATGCTTAAAAATGAATTATTGTAAGATTGAGATGGAATTATGAATAAAATAAAACGGGGAGGATTTAAAATTTGATATTTTCCTACCGACAGAAGTGATATTATTAGTAGTAAAAATTTTTCTGTGGAAAACAAAAAGAGAGAAAATTGGCCAGAAATTCCTCCCTACTTCGACTCCACAGCTCAGGTTTGCATTAATTATAAATTCGTTATTCACATGACATACGCAACTATCATATTGTCTGGATAATATTATTTTGAAAAAGATACTAGGGTAGTTAGGGAAAAGATAGGGTTCAAGACTGAAACCTCCTCTCACTCAGCCAATCATAGGTGGAGGGAATGTAATATTTGCTAGGGGGAACTACTCGGCATGTTTTTCTTTAATAACTACAACTTTGCAATTTCTAAACAAATTATAACGTACTACATAATTGCAGTATAATTCCTTGTATGCAGTATTTTTCAACATTAAATAGTAACGTATTTAACATTCTTC